GATAACACGAACTATTCCATCAAATAGAGATAAAATCACACAGTGCACTTAATTTTTAAATATTTATATCAGTTAACGTGGTAACACATGAAATTGGTAAAATGAAACCTATGCCGACAGATACCCAATTTATTCAACTAAAAAGCTTCTCTCTTAATCTTAGTTTTGTATACAGTACCGTGCACACAAAACACACGTGTTGTGTATAAAAGTGTACCCATTTTGCCAAACGTGGTAATCGTGGTAAATCATCCCAATAATGGCCACCGGTCTATAATTTTTAAGTGTGTCAATTTTTGATGCTGCACTAATAACTGTCGCCGAGTCATTACTCAAACAGAATGTTAATACCTGTTTAAAAGAATTTAGATTTGAAAAAGGATTACCGCAAGATATTGTAAAATACTTCAAAACCATTGATGTAAAGAAAACGGCAGATTTGTGGGAGATTTCCGTGACAGTTATTGCGTCCATAATAGATTTAATTGCACCTTACCTTGCTATTATTTTTAATACTTGTATCGACTCTGGTGTATTTCCTGATTAAATGAAGTATAGTAAAGTAATACCTTTATTTAAATCTGGTAGTACATTGGACCCCGCTAATTTTAGACCTATTTCTGTACTACCAACTCTCAGTAAAGGTTCCTCCGGATCGGTAGTATCAATGGGCGTTCCTCAGGGCTCGATTCTTGGTCCATTCCTGTTTTTAATCTATATTAATGACTTACCTTATCTTGTAGGGGACAATCACGATATAGTATTATTTGCTGACGATACCTATTTAATTTTCAAACTCAAACGGCAGTTAATTAATTATGACGATGTAAATAATGCTTTATCGAAATTATTACATTGGTTTAACTCCAACAATATGCTCTTAAACGGCAATAAGACAAAGTGTATTAAATTTACAATATCTAATGTAAAACATTCGAATACCAATGTGCTGTTAAATGGGGAGGAGTTGAGTCTTGTGGATACCACTGTTTTTCTCGGTATTACTATTGACGCGAAACTTCAATGGGGTCCCCATATATCTAAATTAGCAAGCAGACTTAGTCTGCAGCATATGCTGTAAAAAAGATTAGAAGTCTCACAGCTGTTGAGACAACTAGATTAGTGTATTTTAGTTACTTTCATAGCATAATGTCTTATGGAATTTTGCTATGGGATAATGCGACTGATATTGAAGCTATATTTGTTTTGCAAAAGAGAGCCGTTCGGGCGATTTATAACCTAAATTGTAAAGAGTCCCTCAGACAAAAATTTTAAGAAATAAACATATTAACTGTGGCATCGCAATATATTTATGAAAATGTAATGTATGTACATAAAAACATATATAGCTTTAATAAGAATAAGGATGTGCATACTTTAAACACTAAGAACAAACATAAGCTTGTAATACCAGTTACTAGACTCTACAGAATCAGAAATTCATTTATGGGGCAATTTATACGCTTTTACAACAAAATCCCAAAACATATTCAAAGTTTGTCAATAAACAAGTTTAAAAGTTTTATTAAAGAAAAACTGTACAAAAAGGGTTATTATAATATCAAGGAATACATGAATGAAAATAAACCCTGGGAATAAGGTGATCGCCACCATGCTAGGTCTATGAAAAATCATTTAAAAATTGTGTAAACGAAATTATGTTTGAAAAAAAAGTCCCGCTGGGTTTCTTGGTGGTTCTTCTCAGGACAGACGTATTTTCCGAACCAGTGGAAAATAAAAAATGACTTTCAATAAGAATTATGTAATAATCAATATTGAATAAAAATATATTCTATTCTATAGCATTCTAAAATTTTATTTTATCAGTTACGATAAGTCACTTTATTTGAGTAATTTTATTAGTTTATTTTGTAAAAAGTAGAGGGCGCTATATTACATTAATACTATGAAAGTTAAAACTATACTATCTAATAATATCAGCTATAGAAGGTTGGGATGCGACTGGCTCAAGAGCCACTTCAAAGCCGCGAACATTTATTTATTATATAAAAAAAGGCATAAAGTGATGTTGATTCTGTTACGAATCTATTTCTGTTAAAAAGCACGCTATCAGTGCCGCTAGCAGTGAAAAACTGTTTGACGATATAACCATATTATCATGAAATAGCAATGTTGTGTTTAGTTATTAATATAGTTAAACGAGCTCTATTCATTGATTTAGCTAAACTATATCATGACATGGTCAACAAACAGTAATAAATATCATAAAATGTCCCCGTTTCACGAAATAATGATTAAATGAGAATTTTGCAATAATTGCGGGCAGACCAGTTTTAATTTTACATACAGATATAGTATGAAACGTATGAAAATTTATATGATTTTAGTTAAAAAAAAATTTCAATTTCCATACGTTTGATAGATATCATTGTTATCAATTTTTTTTTATTTAAATTTTAAAAATTAAATTACAATTAAGTTAAAGGTTAGAATTTTCAAATAATTTTATAAATTTTATTATTTAAGTATATAAATGTAAGTTGTTTATAATATTATTTAATTGTTTAGTTACTAAATTCAAAATATAGGTTTTTTTCATTTGATGATAGATAGCGCTGTTTTGATAATTAAAACTAAACGTAGTGGTTATATTCTCCTTGATTAAAACGTATATCGTAAGTGGAGTTTCAAATTGTTATGCAAAGGTTAAAACTTATTAAACTTTTTTTAAAGGTTAAAAGGAAGAAAAACAGTTAACCATCTTTTTTAAGTTCCGTAATGGGATAAAAAAATGCCTATAAGTTGCCCCAGGTTACTAACTACGAGAACATATAAAATTTAATGGAAATTGGTCCAGTAGTTTTTTCCGTTAATCGGTAATACACAGACAGACAGACAGTCAAACAGAAAAACAGACAAAAATTTTAAAAACAACTAATTTGACTTCAGTACCCTTTATTTAGTCCCCTGGACTTGTTTTGTCAAGAGTGTATTAGAATTACAGACACGACTTTTCTACAAATTTATTATATGTATAGATAACTATATCTGAAATAGTTTGTTATAAACGTTTATCACATTACAAATGAGTACATTGAACTAAATCTGTACATATATAAAATGTGTTCTAATGATAACACGTAGTAGAGACACGACACTTATAGTAAGCTTAAAATTGTTTGTAATTCAGTGTTGTATTTAGTTGATATATACTCGTATTAAGTGTCATATAATACTTAACTGTGTGGTGAGAAATTTTACCGTATTTTCTATCGACTTCAAACAGGAGGAGGTACTCAATGCGACTGTATGTTTTTTTATGTGTGTTACCTCATCACTTTTTTCTGGGTGAATCGATTTCGATGATTTTTTTAATTAAAAGCTGGTACTTCACATCTAGGCCAACATAAATGTGATCAAGATCTGACCAATAGTTTTTGAGTTATTCTTAATAATTTATATTCAAGTCGGTTGTATAAAATTTTAAATTATCTAAAATGGAGATATGATTTTCCTAATTTATAGATTAACGGAATTACCCGATATCCGATTGATATCCTTTGAAGCCATTATGTTGTGTTTGTCTTCATTCATTTCTTATATAATATAACAACAGCGTCAAATTTATGATAATTATAGAAATAAACCTTTTTACATGTTTATTACCTAATTGATCAAGAAACTAGAATTTTATTCTTCAAAACCGAAATAAAATTAATAAAATACAATCCACTGCTAAGTATGTTCTAATATTCAAATAACAGACTTATTTGCATAAGCCAAGCGTGGCAGCTATGGCTATTACCCCTAAGACAATCTATGGCGGTAGCCTATGTTCAGCTGTGGGTTTTTTATAGGCTGCCACCGTTGGCGGGCCGCAATAACTTTGAACTTTGTTTACTTTGATTTGCGTAGAAAAACTAACAATTAATGAACAAAATGCAAAGGTGTGATTAATCTTTACAAAATGCTCGTGACACATTTGGCTACTTTAAAGCTATTTTCTAGCTGCTAAGCAAGGCGATTTAGGCAATTGATCCTTACAAAGGGTAGGGCTCATGTCTAACAGTTGACGTAAACAGACTGACGAAGTAAAAGAATATTAACAAACAGACAAATGTATATTTACCTGGGACAAATAGTCCGACTAGGTAAGTCCAACTTCGACCCAGAGGTTAATTGACGGATTCTCTGGGCACTCGGCTGGGCAGCTTTCGGGAAATTACGACAAATCTTCTCTTCAGGTATACCTCAAAACTTGAAAACGATACTGTACAACCAGTGAGTGTTGCCAGTGATGACTTATAGATCTGAGACGTGGTCCTTCACTGATGGCCGTATGAGGACGCTCAAGGTCACTCAGCGAGGTATGGAGAGTGCTATGCGCGGGGTTTATCTATGTGATAAACTTGGAAATGAGGGTATCCGCAGTAGAATCAGAGTGACCGACTTAGCCTATCGAATTAGTGAGCTGAAGTGGCAATGGGCTGGCCATATAGCTCGAAGAACCGACAACCGATGGGGAATCAAGGTTCTCAAATGGAAGCCTCGTACCGGTAGGCAAAGTGTAGGACGACCCTCCACTAGATGGAGTGATGACCTAGTAAGACATGCAGGAAGTCTATGGATGCGGGTGGCTCAGGATCGTGCTTTGTGAATTATATTGATTCTATTGAGACTGACAGTAAGCTGAAGTTGCAAACGCCCTGCCGTATACTTTGAAGGACTTGCAACCGATAGGGAAGGAATCTTCTGGAGCGACAGCCTCGAAGTCGAACCACTAAGAGAAGTATATGGCAGTTCCCACTAGATGGAGTGATGTCCCGGTATCTCTTATACCGGAGTTCGGTGGATGCAGGTGGCTCGGAACCGAGGTTTGTGGCGATCCTTGGGGGAGGCCTGTGATGAGATGTAAGGGTGAGGATGATAATGATATTATGAGGCAAAATGATATATTTACTATTTATTTAAATTTTTCTATAAGGGATTCTTGTTGTTTGACAACAGTTAGGAAGTTAATTCAATTTAATTGCAGAAAAATGAGTTTCAACAAACACAGAAGTGATGCAGTACATTGGTATATGCACGATTTGGCGTGTCGAGTAGTCGCCAAGTCGGGTATTGCTACAGACAGATATCACGCAGGGAAACTAATCCTTCAGAGTTTAAAAGAAGCGCCTAATTTTGTTTTGCAGGTATTTTTCAAGATAGCTTATCAATATACTAGATGATTACACTTTATAATTTTGTAATACAAATCATACGTTTTAATCTTTTCAAACTAAGTATAATAAAAAATTCATATTGTATTATTTATAGCAGCATAAATTACCCTATTCATAAACTATTATCCCTTTTGTAGATCTTTAATCCGCACGGGTTTTCTGTAAGAAATTTCTGTGTAGCAATAAGACAGCAGTCTGTTTTTCCTTTTCTCTTCTCTTTCTATATACATTTCATTATTTAGCTGAATTTAAAATGAAAATTACAATGAAGAAAGATTATTGATATAAAATCTATTGTAAGAAACTATTCCACTTCTGATGTAAGAAACTATCCCACTTCTGATGTAAGAAACTATCGCACTTCTGATGTAAGAAACTATCCCACTTCTGATGTAAGCAATTACTCCACTTCTGATGTTAGAAATTATTCTCAAAATTATTTAAATAAAAGAACACTACTCGGTAAGAAACCCTTCTTACTATCAGAAACTATTCTGGAGGTCAATTGAGAAAAATAACAAAGGTGAGAGCATATGCTCAACTTGCTCTCCTGCTTACGTAACCAATCATTATCAGCAACATTACAGCGCATTGCCCCATACATTCAGTAAAGAACAGAGAGAACCGTAACGTGTTCCCGTCACAAATATACACCGGAGCAACCCGAAAGACCCAATTACGTGACAACACCAATGTATGCAAACCAACAGCAACACTACCCATCTCAATGTAACACAGAGCAGCTTCTCAGCAACACGACATTCCTTGCCTACACTAGTAGAATACCCCAACGGGCATAGTAACGACAGTAAGACTCGTAGAATTACTAACTTATGCCTCTTAGTCACCTGCACGATACTTTATACTGCTAGAACGGAATATCCCATATTACAGTTCTACCTTCATTTGTTCGTACTCGTATTTCCTTTTATTTTTTACTGTCATTGACAACACTACAATAATGAATACAATCAGGCGTTACTTTGCTGAGATGCAATATATTTAAGTTGTTAGAGAACTTAATTTGGTTATTTCCGCGCATTGAAATAAAGAAGTTTTATATGGGCGTCCACTGTGGCGCTAGAAGTATAAACATATAGATGTGTGTAGCGGTTTTTTAGTTTGGAGACGGCGTTCTTCTCTCGGTAGAGAGTAATGTTGTTCTGTGATAGTGTCTAATCATGACCATACGGGGGATGATTTTAATGAAAGTCTTTTCTTCTAATGTTTTCTCTTATGATCTTTCGGTCTATAGTCTCATATTTGCCATTACCTTTGCAAATTGCTTGAGTACGACCAGTATATAGAGACATGGAACAGTCAAGATCCCAAATGTTTTGAAATGTTCGCGACATTATTCTTGTTGTTTTATCTGGACCATGGTTCTGATTGCTCTTTTTTGCAAAACAAAGGTTATGTGTTTTTAAAGCTTCCTTTTCAGAATAAATTGTCACGACTCCACAAATGCGTAGTAAATAAATTTTAAATGTTCAAAATCAGCTTCACCCCGTAAGCTTCTTAGTACGTAACAAACTGAGCTTATTTTACTCTCAATCTCGTCTAACTCATGTTTCTATTTTAGATCACTGTCTATCCTCATTTAAGAGTGGCCTTAGGAGTAGATTTCGCCACTCCTATAGATTGTACTGTTTTATCACCTATTGCGACATTCAAGGTTGTGTTGTTTCTGACATTGTCGTGGAATGAAAAAAAATTAAAAAAAATTATTTACTGCTAAGGTGGTATAGATTATAATATACAATATAAGATAAAAAAATGGCAGTACAGTAGTCTTAATTCTCTACTATATCACTATAAACTATGATCTTATCACACGTGGCTTTCATAAATTGACACTGGATCGACTTACGATTATTACATTACGTAAGCTTTTTTTAAACAAAATATAAAATAAAAAAATTAAGTAAATATTTATAAAAACAAATAATTAGAGGTCACAATAATACATAGTTAGTAAAGAAAATACTCTTATTCATAAATATTAAAATATAATAATTAATAAAACATAATATGTATATTAGAAACTCCTATAAAATATAACATTACAGTAATAACATAACATTTATTTTGTCAACACTAAGTTGATCGACAGGCAGTTGACAGTAAACCATATTCTAATGGAATGCAATATTTGGTTTATCTTAATTTCTAGAGTCGTTATTTCAGATTCTGAGCTAACAGCTAGCTTTTTTAAGTCTGTCGATTTACGTACAAGGTTAAACGTCAGACTGGCTGTACGTGGTTTAAATCATTAATGAAAAAATAAATAATACGGGACCTAAAATAGAGCCTTGGGGTACACCCACTTTAATGTTAATCATTTTGGACTTCGTCATAATTTCAGACATACTAACGTTCACCGTTTTTATTTCTACGAACATTTTTCTGTTTTGTAAGTAAGGTTGAAAAAGTTTCAGAGCCTGTCCTCAAACCTCATAATAATGTAATTTTTCCAAAAGAAGTTCATGTTTCATGGTATCGAACGCATAGCTCAAATCGAGAAGAGTACAGTTACCTTAAATTTGTTATTAAATTTGTCAATAACAGCATTAAGAAGCGCGTTTATTGCATCCTGTGTACCGATGTTATTTTGATAAACAAATTGCCCCCTAACAATAACCTTGATTAAGACAAGAAGAGCCACCTATCTGGACTTAATTATGTGTTCGAAACATTTTGATATTGTGGATAATAAATATATAAGCCTGTACATCTTGACATCCGATATCGAGTCTTTCTATGAACAGGTACGACTTTGAAACCACCAACTTAATCGCTGTTGAAAAAAAATAGAACCTTAGGTAAAAAGATAGCAAAAACATTATATATAATTAGTTATTACCCGCGACTTCGTGCGTGTAGAAGAAAATGGTTCTGATACGATTTTAATTGGTTATTTATGTTATTAATTTTGTTATAACATATAAATTATTATGTTAAAATGTTTGATATTTATAAAATATAACAATCCTTACTGTAGTGTAGGGATTTAAAGGTTAAATAAACATGAAAAAAAAATAAAAATAAATAATTATATTTCATGAACACGAAGCTCGGCCTTTGATCTGGTGAAAGTGATACGGGGGTATTTTTTTATATCGAAATAGAAATATTACACCTACCTTGTGAATAATATTTTTTGTTTTTCCTTCGGATGCTAGAATCACCAGGTGCTCTGTGCGCTCACTCTGCAGCATGCCACATATAACTGACCGTGGGAGAAGCAGCTTTCTCTCAAGTCTACTCCCGCTACCATAAGAGTTTGACCTTGAGCTTTGTTTATGGTTACGGCGAAGCAGATTTTGATAGGAAACTGCTCTCTCCTGAATTTGAAGGAGTAATTTGATGGTGTTAGGGGAATCCTAGGAATAAATACAGACTCTCCTCGAGAACAACCTGTCAGTATAGTCGCCTCGATTACATTGCGATGGCATGTTTTTACTTGCAATCTGGTGCCATTGGATAATTTTGGTGGATTTATATTGCGCAGCAGCATAATTGACGCGCCAACTTTCAATTTTAATATGTGAGTTGGGATAACGGGAGCCTTCAGTGTATTCAGCAACTCAACCGGATAATTGATGGCATCATCGGTTTTTATCACTGAGTCGCCGGATTTATATTGATATTCGGCCCCTTCGAATGATATAAAAGTATTTCATTTATGGCTGAGGCTTGTTCGGTTTTTGGTCTTAGGATCGCACTGGGGTATAGAAATGGAGTACACATCCTCGCCGTAGCAAAAAGAAGTAGGTATTGTAATGCATTGTATGAGCGATGGATTTCACTTATTCGATGCAATTTATTACATGGCTCTCAATTACAATATGTTGCTTAGAAATTTGCTTTCAAACAATAACTAAAGCAACATCATTTGACGTAGGTTAATTTTACCGTCCATTGTGGCCATTTGTAGGCTTTCTTTCAGCATTTATAATAACTTTAAATGTATTTCGCGTAGCAGATACTGTGTCTTTTGTTTTAACTCTCACAGTAACTGCTTCGCCTGCAGCGTCCTCAAAAAAAAATAGCTCAAGCGTAAACAGTGCACCATTCCATAACCTTCCCTGGTCGAGCCGACCCATTCGCGCTACAAATATACTATTAATATAGCTGCAGCATGGCTCTACCACTTATAAAATTATTGAGTAGACGTAATTGTATATCCTATATAAATTCGTGTCTTTTAATGTATATTTGCAATCATTTTCTAAATGTTTTGTAACACAAAAGACGTTTTAGCAAAAAAACTGGGCTTTTTTGCAAGCAATTCCCCAAAACCCTTACTAAATTTGGATAATTAATTGTGTTTAATTTCATTTTTTATTGTTTTATGCCAAGATTCCTATGTAGTTCCTGTGTATATATTTGTACTTCTGTGAGACACTCCGAATGAATTCCAAACAGCCACATAATTTTCTTCCTCGAGCCATGTCTTTTTATAGTAATTCACAAACGCCATCATATTATTATCATTATTGAATAACGTAAATTGTGTCACATCGAATTATATTTAATAGAAAAATTAAAAGTATTTCAGTTTTGACATTTAAACGAGAAGTATATTTGTATTTTTATAAGTATGCTAATATCTACTAAGTAATTTAAGGCAACTTTCTATTATGTTTTTATAAACGATTTTTCACAGCCGAGGGAGAAAATCGAAAGAAAATTAATATACGAATTACGACTATCCACCCCGTCTGGGGTGGATAGTCGGAATTCGTAGGTGGTTTTTAAGGTGGATAAACGGAATAACCATTGCATTGCACATTGCACCAATATTTTATGTGAGTTCAACGTCTTGAGTTTTCAAACATGTGTCAAAACAAAATGTAATGTAAATCAAAAGCACTAAGAAGTATTGATATCAACTTCGATGCAAATCACCACCAAAATAACTTTTTACCCCTTTTTAACCCCGTTAGGCGACGACTTTCAATAAAATACGAAACATGTCTTTCATCAATTCTGTTAAAGAATGTTTATGCACAATTTGAAGTAGGTTGTACCAAGGAATCACGTTGTCCCATACAAACTGTGCCCCCGTTTTTCACCCCCTTAGGGATATAATTTCGGAAAATCCTTTCATATCGGATGCCTATGTCATACAGAGAACACACCCTCCAAGTTTCAGGTCTCTACAATCAGCGGTTTAGGCTGTACGTTGATCCGTCAGTCATTCAGGACAAAGCATTTTATATGTATAGATAGTGTTATTATACAAGTATAAGATAATAAAATTACACAACAAAAGAAGAATATATGAATTATTGAAGCAATCTGTTTTAAATCCAAGTAGACTAGTTCCCACAAGCAGCACTTGTTCACAATAATGACGCATGTGCCATTTACCAGCCATTACCCTCTGCGACCATATTGAAAGGTTTTTAAAATTGGATCATTTTATAAAGCATAAACATATATTATATTTTTATTATAGCCTGCTATTTATGATAATAAATCCCATCCGATTTCTTATATTTACGCGAACACTATTAATTAATTAATTAATTAATAATTTTTAATCTCGAGGTAGCCGTGGTTAACTATGACATCCCGTGACCATGGGTGCTGGAAAGTGCTCGAAACGTCGGGGATATAAAATTAGTTAATATACGCGATAAATTCTGTAAAATTAGTTTTATTTGAATCCCATCCGAGCAAAATCGGGAGGGGTCATTAGTAATACATAATGATAAAATTAAATTACAACTATTTAAAACTGTAGGGCCTAATAATACGTAAAACAATATCTTTCTGTTTTTGAAAAAAAAGATAAGAGTATATAAACCAACTGTTTCTCCCGGTGCCGACCCTACCAGCACAAGCAGTGGACTCTACAAAATAATTGATAGCATGAATTTCTAACATTTTTTAAATTTTATTTTATCTAAAGATTGATAATTTCAGATTGACGGCGCTACTGGAGAATCTGAAACCTTCCAATCCGCTTTAGAGAGATCGGTCCGGTGTGCGACTGCGTTACAAAACGTAGGATTAAAACTGAATGATGTCATAATTATAATGGCTCCTCTTCACATCAATCTGACTATTCCCATGTATGCTGCTTTCTACTTGGGAATAGGTGTAGCTTGTGTGGACCCTTTGCTTTGTGTTAGTAAGTATTTTTTTTTTTTAGAATCTTTTGGAAAAACCTTACCTCCACACAAGGATTTTCTCCTGTATCGTGGGGGCAGTTCACATACATAGATTTCACCAGGACCAACATCCAGACCCGGAACAATTATTTGTAGGCCATACAAATACTTGTTCCGTGCGGGAATCGAACCCGCGGCCCTTAGCGCTGCAACTCATTGCTAAGCCACTGCGTCACGGAAGTCAATAATGAAGGAGGAGGAGGAAGATAGTCAATTGAAAATATTCAATTGAATTATTCAAATAATCCTAGATTTCATCAATCAATCGCAAGCGAGAGACAAAAACCACTTATGTTATTCAAATTAGTGCTAATTCAAAACTAGACTGATATAAAACATTTTAGTTTGTTTTCTTTAGAGGAGTTAAAGGATACAATCCAAATTTGTTTGCCAAAAATGATATTCTGCCAAAGTGAAAAAGTAGCAGCCGTTGAGGAAGCTTTGAAGCACCTAAAATTGGACGTGAGAGTAGTTACATATGACAAGGGGGACACTCATTGCAGTTTTTCTGAGTTCCTGCAAAAATATGGCGATAATACACCGGTAGATGATTTCCAGTATGTATTTATAATTATTCAACAATATTTTACGTAATTTGATATAAAGAAAACATTTATTAATTCATTATAACCTAAGTTCACTGCTAGATATAGGTATCACCAAAAATTGTCTCATTAAGTGGATATTTGCCATACTTGCCACGCTTGGACGGCAGGTTGACAACCGCAGTTGTTTATTATATGAAGATGCTGCTGCCCATTTCCTGGTGTTTTTCCCGCTGTTGTCTCTTACGGCACCCACATAACGATACGGAGTAGTTGCTATTCTTACACTACCATTACATTTTAAGAAATCATGAGTACCACCAGTACATATTTGATAATGATATTTTATATTTACCCGAATACTACACACGCGAATACTATACAATGAAACTAATATTAACTAATTTTATGGCGTTAATTTATAATTATATTATACATTCCCCTCCATTACAAAAGCTTTGCAATTCCCAGATCGATAAAATCCATAAAAATTGGCGTCATAAATTTTTTGTCCAAAATAACCTTCCTCTGTTTTTAATCAACAAACGATTATTTAATTGCACTGTTACTCTCTCTGACTTAAGTATTTTTAAAGCTATTTCTGTACCTAATAACTGTTAAAATACTTATAACTAAACTACTTGAAAATTAGTTTTTCATGCATAAACAATTTTTGCAATTAATATTGATTTGGAATAGGGCTTCCGACCATCTTAAGATCTTGTATCCATTTCCAGTTGTTATAAAGTTATTCATCTTATTACTGTGTGCGTAAAGTGATAAAGGAATTAGATATAAATGAAGAAATGAATTCTGTTAATTATTTCAGGCCGGCCAACATTGACCCGGAAGAGGCAATTAGCGTACTAATACCAACGAGTGGCACCACTGGATTGCCAAAATATGCAGCTCTCTCCCACAAAAACCTAATGCTTGGGTCACCTTACGTTTGGTAAATCTAAATCTTTTTATAGAGCTTGTTTTTTTTAAATATTACTACTAAAACATACATACATGGCAATAAAATTGCAATATGTGCGTTTTCTTGGCAAGAGAGACAGGTTTTTGTTACGCAAAGAAAGTGCGATTTTCCATAGCACTGGCCATTTTTTTTATAGGATAAGGGTGACAAACGAGCACACAGTCCACCTGATGGTAAGTGGTTGCTGCGGCCCATAGACATCTACATCTATCCTCGTTTGCGAATCAAAATTCAGATGCGTTGTCACCCGTGAGGACTAAGATGGAATGCCTCATTTCCAGTAAAAAGGGCCTCCGGCCACCTGCACTCACCAAGCGAAACGCAGAGGTAAACCTCTACTTCACGCTGGTATTCTGTGAGGTCGTGGTACCACCCCGGTTCGAGCCAGCCCATCCGTGTGACAGCAAAAGCTGCCGCTTGGCTCTACCACTGTTAAAGCCATGCCATAGCCATTTTATAATAACTTACAAAAGTGTCTCCAAACCACTAAAACACTCTCTTAGGTAACACTTACCAACCATGGACGTATATAGGCTGTAAGTTTAAGAATGGAATCTTAGGGAGGTTAGCGTATATTTAATGCTTATGGACAGTTATATACTGCATGTAAATAAGGCTAAGTATATTTTCTAAGCTTTGCCTAAATAAAAGCTTATATATTGACGTTCTTATTGTTAAAATTAAAATGATAAATAATATATGGAAATGAAAATAAATTCAGAATTACAGTGTCTGATGATATTCGCTGGGTCATGGACAATATACTTCTCACTGTTTTAACATTATTGGATTTCAGCAGTGCATTTAATTCCGTTGATTATGACATGTTTCTTGGTATTCTTTCGTCCTTAAACATTTCACCATCAGTAATCTCTTGGTGTCCGCCATGAGGAGGATTTCTCCGAGTGGTGTGATCTTACGGTGGGTGTTCCTCAGGGTGGTGTTCATTCCCCACTTCTCTTCTCTATTTTCGTCAATGCTTCCACTACTGTTCTCTCCTCTCATTATCATCTCTATGCTGACAACTTGCAATTGTACCGTCATTTCAAAGTCAAAAATATTAATAGATAAGCTGAATGCTGACTTAAGTAGCATAAGCAGTTGGGCAAAATCAAATGATCTTCTTGTTAACCCTGCTAAATCCCAAGTAATGATTATCGGCAGCTCACATATGCTAAACTTATTAGACCGTTCGAAGATCCCAGCAATAACGTATGATAATACTCAAATTCCATATACGAGTACAGAGATTTCTAAAAACTTGGGTGTTATCTTTGATAATAATTTGTCTTAGCTTTTATTTTATTTTAATATAATTAGCAGAAAAGTGAACTACTCTTTTCCATCTCTCAAGTGCCTCCAGATGTTTTTACCGTTAAAAACTAAGAAATCATTAGCTCAAGCACTCCTTCTTCCTCTCATTGACTACGCTGATGTTACTTTTTGGATGCTTTAGAGAAGCTGTTGAACAAACTGGAACGTCTTTAAAATTAGTGTAAACGTTTTATTTTCGGTCTTCGTAAGTTTGATCATGTTTCAGAGTACAGGGCTCAATTAAAATGGCTTCCTATCGGTAGACGTCCAGACTTACATGTTTTATCATTTCTCTACTTTCTAGTCTTTAACCTTCTTGCACCTCCATACCGTACCCCGCGAAACTCAGTGCTGAACCACTAAACAGCTATTTGTCAAAACTCCTTCTCATTTCACAAGTTGATATGGTGGATCATTTATTATAAGGGCACATGACATACGTGCTAGCTCTTCTCTTGATATATTTCGGTACAGAGTAAAGAAACATTATCTATCAACTTAGAATTATAAATATTCATATATAACATCATGTATTTATTGCTTCTCGCCGGATGATCCCAGCGCTGTTGCTGACTCTGTCACTGATGTGATGCTACAGGGAATGGAACTATTTATTCCATCATCTGTGGTACCAATCGGAGGCAGATCTCAGCCTTGATATGGTCGCTCCTGTAATACTGCATTACGCAGTAAGCAGGAGTATTATCAAGCCTGGGCTGCGGCTTCGGTGACTCGGGATGTAAACACCAGCATACTTAAAAAGAAATATAACTAGTTATTGCCAAGGCAAAGTCAGAGCACACAGGCAGAATTGGCGAGAAACTAGTTCGCCTTCCTTCGGGAACCCGTGTATTCTGGTCTCTCGTCAAGGCTGTCCAAGGGAATTTCTGTAAGCCATCACTACCATCTCTGCACAGGAAGGACGACTCACTGGCCCAAGCCGCAAAAGACAAAGCCGACATTTCTGGCTCCCTTTTTGCGTCCAACAAAACTCTTGATGATGGGGGGAAAACACCACCGACCATCCCGCGGTGTGAGTGCTCCATGCCGGAAGTGCGGTTCTCACAGCACTCGGTTCGCAAAGCACTTCTCTCCCTGGACATCCAGAAGTCGAGTGGGCCTGACGGAATCCCCGCTATTGTGCTGAGGACGTGTACTCCGGAGTTGGCACCGGTCCTAATGCGTCTTTTCCGGTACTCCTACTCCCTAGGCGTAGTCCCGAAATCATGGAAGACAGCTTTTGTCCACCCGATCCCTAAAAAAGGCGACCGCTTAGACCCGTCCAACTACAGGCCTATCGCCATCACTTTTTTGTTCTCCAAAATAATGGAATCCATTATTAACTACCAGCTCATGCGGTACCTTGAGGGTCACCAGTTGATTAGTGATCACCAATACGGTTTTCGTCGGGGTCGATCAGCTGGTGATCTTCTGGTCTACCTGACTCATAGATGGGTGGAGGCAGTAGAGTCCAAGTGGGAGGCATTGGCCGTTAGTTTGGACATTGCGAAGGCCTTCGATCGGGTTTGGCACAAAGTGCTTCTTTGAAGCTCCCTTCCTATGGGCTTCCTGAGAAATTGTGCATTTGGATCACCAGCTTCCTTGCAGATCGGAGCATCAAGGTCGTTGTAGACGGTGCATGCTCCGACTACAAGCCTATTAACGCTGGTGTTCCACAAGGCTGTTTGCTATCACCAACGCAGTTTCTTCTTTCGTCAATGATATGTTGCTAACTGGTAACATTCATTACCATGCGGATGACAGCACTGGTGATGCTCTATACACCGGCCGTGCCAATATTTCTCGGGAAAACGTCGCCGAGTACCGGAACAAACTTGTGTCTGAAGTCGAGTCTTTGCTGAATAAAGTCTCGGATTGGGGGCGACTAAATCTAGTCCAGTTTAATCCTCAGAAGACACAAGTTTGTACGTTTACCGCTAAAAAGAACCCCTTTGTCGTATTTCCTCAGTTTCAAGGCACTCCCCTTCTTGCCTCAGCCAGTATCGGAATCCTCGGAGTCGACATATCGAGAGACGTGCAGTTTCGTGATCACTTGGAAGAGAAGGCCAAATTGGCCTTTAAAAGCTTAACGTGCTCAGCAGAGCGGGACAGTATTTCATGCCGGCACACCGCCTGCAACTTTACAAGGCGCAGGTTCGTACTCACATGGAATACTATTTCCATCTTTGGGCAGGGGCTCCCCAGTGCCAGCTCCTTCTACTTGACCGCATCCAGCGCAGAGCGGCTCGAATCGTCGACAACCGAGTCCTTTCCGATTGGCTCGATTCATTGGCACTGCGAAGAGATGTTGCATCCCTTTGCATTTTCTTTCGCATTTCGCACGGGGAGTGCTCTGAGGAATTGTTCGGATTAATCCCAGCCGCCAAATTTCACAAACGCACATCACGGCTGAACTCCCGATACCATCCACTCCATCTGGATGATTGGCGGTCCACCACTGTGCGATTTAGAAGATGTTTTCTTCCTCGCACGACTTCCTTGTGGAATCGATTACCATCAGCGATTTTTCCGGACCGATACGACTTAGCGACCTTCAAGAAAAGAGCCTACTCCTTTTTAAAAGGCCGGCAACGCATCTACAATTCCCCTGGTTTCCCTGGTGTTGCAGTTGTTCCTGGGTGGCGGTAGTCACTTACCATCAGGTGAGCCGCATGCTCGTTTGCCCCCTCTCCTATAAATAAAATACAATACAATAAAGTGTGTACAATAAAGAATAAAGGAAGAAAATATTGATGGTTACGTTTGAACACAGAATTTTTTCATCACCGGTTCGAAACACATTTTGGACAAATCTAAATCATTTAAATCGAATCTATGAGACCGATGTTCAATTAATCTACCGTACATTGGTTCATTCTCCTAAATGAAAGAAAAATACATATCTATAAAATATCTAGACCGGTGGCAAGGATAACCTTCGAATTTGTGAGACTTACAGAGATTGTCAATACTCCTGTCAAACATGATGAATAAGACAAATCGTTCCTCCCACGGTAGAGGCCCATGTCAAGCAATAGACTTTTTAAGGTTGATTATAAAGGAAAAACTACACTATGGTGCCGTCCTATTGCCATCGCTCATGCGATCATGCGTACGTCCGACGAAAATTATTGTGCGACCGTGCGTTTAAACATACTCATATCTGCGGAATGTCCTATTGAAGGTCGTGCGATCATGCGATGCGACCGAATTGTCTAATTTTCGTCGTGCGATTATCGACGCATCGTATAGATCGGACGATCGTCCAATCAAACATACTAATCAGTACTGAATGTCCTAATTGTGCTCGCACAAATAAGGGGCGAAGGCAAGGGAGGGGTTTTCGTAAAAATTTTCTTCGTTTTGCCGTACGTCGTAATACTGTTCGTGAAATTCACCGCACTGATTTCTGTTTTTATACAGTTTATTATTATTATGTGGTGTACGTTTTCATTTTTTTAATGCTATTCACTGTTAAAGAAATATTGCTCGACAGCAAAAACTGTGCATCTCTGTTAAGAGCCATTTCGAGAGTGATCGCATCGCTCCAAAATAGGACACACGATTTCTAATCGTGCGAGTGGATTCATCGGACGATGAAATCGCACGCATCATCACGCGAGCGAGCGATGGTAATAAGACGACGTCTAAAGGTAATTAAAGTAATCAATGAATTGAAAGAAAAAAATAATGAATTCTAAAATGAGAAGTTATCATAAATTGAATCCACATAAAACTAATAGGTAATGAACTCGTTAAGAAATAATGTAAATATCTTTTGCAAATGGACCTTTAGACTCATAGCATTTTAGCTTATCTGAAACTAAAACTCGAGCCACTAATGTGTGTGTAAAATCAAGTCCAACATTCCTTTAAAAATCTACCTGATTTTAGAATCGCTTTTCTTACATTACATTTATATAAACATATTATTATATAGAAGTATTTTTTCTGACGGTAAAATATTTGGTTCAATAAGCCTACCATTAAAATTAGTTATGATTATTATTGATTTTTTTTTGTTTATGTTTTGTTGACGTTTAAGTTTGCTAGTTATATTGCTGATTTATTGCCAAAATTGATTCTATTGCATTTGAATTTAAATTAGTTAAAAATAAGCTTGTAAATTTTAACTGTTGACTCTTATTTTCATTACCATCCCTCAATGATATTACCTTAGGCTTATTATATTAATCGATTACCACCAGCGAAGTTTTCGGCCCGATACGACTTAGGGACCTTCAAGAAAAGAGCCTACTCCTTTTTAAAATGCCGGCAACGCATCTGCAATTCCCCTGATGTTGCAGTTGTTCATGGGCGGCGGTAGTCACTTACCATCAGGTGAGCCGCATGCTCGTTTGCTCCCTCTCCCATAAAAAAAAATCATTACATTCCATGGCATATTCCGTCCTTTTTTTGTAAATTATTCAATATGACCTTTTCCTTTATGCAAGTGAAAAATGTTTATGAAAATTTTAAGTAAATATCAAAAAAATTATCAAAAAATTATCAATTTTTTTCTCACGGAACACTACGATTTACGCGAAATACGTAATGACCCTGTGGTGGGTGGAAGGAAAATGTATTCCTCAACTTGAGAGATAGAATAGTTTTTATCCCGATAATGACCCTCAATTTTTTATTGCTAATTTTAAGACTTTAATAGGATAAAGGGTCATTGGAAAGGGCAGAACAACGTCTGACTGGCCAGCTAGGATAATTATAAGATAGAAAGTAATATAATAATTAAAACTGATAGCACTGAAAATTAATAATACATAGCTGTTACTATCAGTCTGGATATTAATATCCGGTATAATAAGCGAAATGGCTATACCGCCACTTATCGGTTGCCATGATATCATTCTGGTTTTTTCCATAGTTGCCTCCTAAGACACTAAACAGGTTACAATTAATTTCAGGATAAGATTCCACGAATTTCCTACACCTACTCGAATGGCTTTGATCGTGTCTCCCGTGCAGTGGATTTCGTCGACAAATAGTTTAGTTATGTCGCCAATACTAAAATTTACACGCTTGCATACTTCACTTCCAGTCACAACGGAGCATACCTATTACCTCATTAATAAATACAAGGTATTTATCGATAGTATTTTTTTTTTATTAACATTGCAAGTCAAATTCACCTTATTTGCCAATTCATTTGTGTCAATAATGTCCGTTCATGTATTCAAGAACACATTTCACCCTGCGTCGAGGTTTATACGTAGTACGAATAATATGAAATGCTCGTAAAATTGTGTTTATAAAGTACTCGTGTATTCTTTATTATATGTTTTGTAAATTGATTTGTCATAGTTTTTATGTAGTTTAGAAGCGCTCGTAAGGAGAAACGAGAGGTTGTTTTTTTTTAAATATAGAATGTTGTTGAAATGATAATTTTCCTCAAAATGCAGTAAGCCCACAAACTTAGATTATTATTTATACAAAGGCAAAGTCAGAGCACATCGGCAGAATTGGCGAGAAACTAGTTTGCTTCCCTTCGGAAATACGTGCATACTGGTCTCTCGCCAAGGCTGTTATCACAAACCAACAAAAATCAAATTCTATACTAAACTAAATATGAAGATAAAAATAAGTAATGGTAATGATGATGTCCTTTTGATTTCTATCTCTGCAACCATAACCAACTACTGCTGAAGGTGGTCAACTACCCAGAATATAATTGCCACACGCTTGCCTGCTTTGTAGGTGGTAATACACACTTTCTACCAAATGATCGTATGCGTTGGTAGCACTCTCTTACATGTGTCTGCAGTAGACATGTGTAACACTAAGCTGTGTCGCGTAATTTTGCGTGTTGTTGCTTGTAAATATGTTATATAACTTCTTCAAAAAATTTAAAATGTTTAAAAATGCAATTTTAGTTAATGCAATAACGCCGGCGCAGCAAAATGCGCCTGAGTTATTGAGTTAACGCAAGGAATTTCGCTGAGTTACCCATGTCTATTCTGCATCCAAGCTGCTGTAAATTCACTATTATATTCTAGATCAAAGAGCAAGAGACCTAATGTAAAAAGGCTGTGATATAAAATGCATTCTATTTGGCCAATGTTAGCGTGTGTGTGGAGTTAAATAGACTAAATAAGTAGCATAAGAAATTATGGGTTTCCTTGTTACCTCTTCATTGCTCTATGGTCTTTTAAAACATAAAACAATCTATGAAACTGAACACTAATGAAAAAATCATTTTAGCCAACATATGTGGTGATTAGTCCCCCGATGATGACCGCCCTTATAAAACCAGGACAGCGTGAAAGGTGTGACTTTACATGCTTTAGACTGTTCATATTAGGGGGCAGTGCTGTACCGCAAAAATTAATTGATGATGTAAAAGTAAGTATCAGATAATATTAACAAATATTTAATAGTATTATGAAGTAGTCCTAGGTATTATTATTAATTAGTCCTAGTAGCTCCAGACCGAATTTAAGTCGCAACGGAGACAAGCCATATGAGCAGAACAAAGTTATAGTGCACGAGTGTGTGCAAAAGCAAAAGTGCACTCTCTATTGTCTCACTCCCATAGTCTGATGGGATAGTAATCCCACACGACCAGAGAGAGATCAGGTTCAAGGCTAATGCCTCTACGTCCTTTCTGAAGTGTAGGGGTAAAAACACTGTCAACTTCCTAACTCTAAAATGATACTGAGAATATCTTGACAAAAAAATCCCAATAACAGGTTATGGTCCAAGCACATGACCTGTAGTCACGCTTAAAACTACTTTTTTATGGTACGGGAAAATTCTCATGGATAGCTACCGATGTGAGGCCAAAAAGCTTATGTTAGACTTCTACCGGATAAAACCCTACGATAGTCACCATCAGCGTAAACGAGAGGGCCCGAAATCTCCGTTCAGGACGCAACCGGGGCTCCTCCATTGCTTTGCTTGACCATTACTGCGTCGCGGGGATCCCAGTGCTACCACATATATCAAGACCATTTTCAAGTCATCCTCCTAATATGTAATGATAATCTAATCTCTGGAACTACTAGACCGATTTGATAAATTCTTTTAGTATTTGATAGCCAGATTCACGAAAAATACTAAAGGCTATCAAGTATTAGGCTATCAAGTATTAGGCTATACCTCTCAAATATCCTTAAATATTAATTTCTATTAAGCAAGTCGGAAGAAAAAGCGCTTCCGAACTGTTTTATCCTCTATCTATGAAATAATCTGCAATACCTCAGATCTATTTCTTATACATAGGCCACAATAAGGTATTTTGTAACAAAAAATAAATAAAAATAAAAATAATATACAGGGTAATTTTTAATTTACTGAAGACCTTTTGAGAATATATTATTTACATCATAACAACAACATCTGTAAGAAAAGAAATTATATTTCTTCAATTTTTATTTTCATACAAAAATAAAAATATTTTAATTGGACCTTCTAAACGGCAATAGTCCTAAATAGCAAAATAAAGCGCGTGGCGGGGTAGGGGTGGAGGGGTGTAGGAGGCGGCGCTTGCTCATTTGAACTTGACCTAATTATCTGTGTTGTCAGTCGGTCAGTCGCCTCTTGTGCGCCCGCGACTTTTCTCCTTCCGTTGTGAGATTAATATCGCGAACGTTACGCGTTGTTACAATGGCATACCGATACTCAAATATTGAGTATACCGAAATGGTGCGAATTTTAGCAATTTGCAATGATAACGTTAGTGAAGCCTGCCGTGAATATTCAAGGCGATTTCCCAACTCACGTGCACCGAGCTACGCTGCGATGCTAGGTACAACACAGCGATTGCGAGATTACGGGCAATTCCAGCCTGTATCAATCGATCGTGGTCGTCCACCGCGGCGCACAGTACGTGAGCAGGAAGACATACTGCAGTTTTTTGAACAAAATCCAGCAGCGAGCACTTATGAGGCAGCCCGACAGTTCAGTGTGTCACAGTACTACGCATGGAGTGTAATACACAATAAAGGGAAGTACCCTTTCCACTTGCATCGTGTTCATGAACTCAGCGAAGCTGACAAACCAGCGCGAGTTACATTTTGTAACTGGTTACTAGCTGCTGAACGAGCCAACATTTTATGGACTGATGAAACAACATTTGGCAGAATAGGACTATTTAATTCGCACAATGAACACTTGTGGTGCTATGAAATTCCACATGAACCAAGACCGCATAGCTTTCAACACCGGTTAAGTGTCAATGTGTGGACAGGCGTCATTAATACCACGTTACTGGGCCCGGTCTTCATAGAAAGATTAAACGGTGAAAGCTATCATAGTTTTCTCACCGACACGCTGCCAGAGTTGTTAGAGGACATACCACTTGCATCTCTACGCAATATGTATTACCAACTTGACGGGGCGCCGGCACACTATGCTCGCCAAGTTAAGGATTATTTAAACAGAGAATACCCTGGTCGCTGGGTCGGTCGAGACGGGCCTTGTGCATGGCCTCCCAGATCGCCAGATATCACACCAATGGATTTTTATTTGTGGGGGCATGTAAAGACATTAGTGTATACTGGTCGAGCATTCTAAACCCGCGACATGTTGAAAGAAAAAATAATTTGGGCATTCGATCAAATCAAAATGAATCATCAAGTATTATCTCGTGTCGGTGAACAGTTAAGTTTTAGGTGTCACCTATGCATAGAATGTGGAGGTGATTATTTTGAACGCTATGTGCGCGATACACACCGCCATCCACGGACAAGTACCTAGGTAAGTCTAATTTTTAAATTTGTATAATTAAATAAAGATATACCTTAATATCTTTATTTAATTACTGTTAATTTGTATTTAATCATTATAAATATTTTATTCTAATATTTGTAATTATTTTAACCTGCATCAATTTTTTAAATATAACTTACATTAAATAAAAAAATAGTTAATAATACTCATTTAATTTGCACGTGCTGCAAACATCGATCACCAAATCGATGCCTGCAAACCGAAAAGGGCAGGCGGCGCCTTTGATGACGGTGACACCTGTGTCGACGTTATAATATATCGTTGGCTTGGCCTTGGGCCGCCGCATGTGCGACGTTGAGACGTTGCCTCTTGGATGCAGGCAGAGTTGCTAGCAAACAGTATTCGTAAAAAAACTACCTAAATGTCTATTAAAGAATGTCTATTAATTCTTAAAGAAATTAATAAAAGAATCAAATAGTTCATCAAATGGTTTTATGCAAAATAAAGAAGTATATGAAAAGTTAATGTAAAGTCATTTAAAGTGGCGCCCTGGTGCAATAGGCACAGTGATGAATGGTTTAGTAGGCTCTCGCAACTAGGGTTACCATATCTCAGGATTTGTCCTGAGGTTTCAGGATTTTTAGACTCTTCTCAGGATTGCGGCTGGATTTTGCAAATCTCATGAAATCTCAGGATTTTTAGAACTTTCAATATAATACAGCTTACATTTTAAAAGATCTCTTAATAAAAAGTTAAACAAACTAAAAATAATATTCCTTTGGTAATAATTCCACAATTAAAATCAAAACTTATGTATCCAAGTAGGTACTTAAACAGTTTTATCATACTTAATATGTGAAGATACGTTTTTAAGTAAGGTTTTCTTCTCAAACTGTAAAACGATCTCAGGATTTTTAAATGGAAATCAGGCCTCTTCTCCGGACTTTTAATTTTTTCATCTGGTAACCCTACTCGCAACGCAATCAGCTGAGCGCGGGCGTCGACCGGCCCGGCGGTCATTCTTACTTATTATAAATTTTAATATTTGTGGTTTTTTTTGAATGTCATTTGCTCATTTAATTATGTTTAATGATTTCAACACAATGTTTGATACTGTATCAAGTGTAAAAATGCCTTATTTAGGCATTTTCTTTGACGATTTATTCTGACATTGTTTAGGTACTACAAAATACAGACTTAAAAGGAGTCAGACATGACAACAAAACCTTAAAAGTAGTTTTTTCGTAAATGTATTATGTTCTGTGAAGAGTGATCTCACTAAAATTGTTTGTAATGATGTAACCAATATATTCCCAAAAGGTCTTCAGTAAATTAAAAATGACCCTGTATAGTTTAAGAGATAGTGAAAAAATTAAAATAATAATTCTACATCAACACTCGGCCCGGCGCGCGAACGACGAGCCACTCGATGAGAACTGAGAGAAACCAGCTAGCTACCCGCGACTTTGTACGTGTTGCTTACACACATTACTGAACACGTAGTGCTTGTGAATATCGTGTTTCTTAAAACTGTAATAAATTTATATTAAATAAAAAAATATCGTAATATTTCTTTATCGTGCCAAGTATCCAAGAAATAAAACTGAGAAAACCTAATTGAAATCTATCCAGTAGTTTTTCCGTGATGCGCCCACAACTGCAAAACTCTATCATTTTATTTATATAGATGAAACCAGCAGTGAACGCCTTTATAACATATAAGCTAGGTGTCATGTCGCGCGGCTCAGGGCGTTATATATATACGTTATACACAGGTGATACCACGGGGAACAGCTAGTTCAGTACAACCTTGATATAAGAAATCTAAAGGAGATTAGAAAATATTCGTTATTCCAAAAAAATTGTAACAATGAAATTTGTTATACAGAGGTTAGGTGTAAATTTAATAATTTATCATTTGCTGTGAAATGTTTTTGTCTTATTGTAGTGTAGTATAGCCTCCACGACTATATATATATATGTTAGTGTTAAGGTAGAATAAGAACAGTATAATTAAAGTTATAGAAGCATCAACACGCCTCAATTTCATTGACACAATTCCTATATCACATGGCGACCCTGCCAGGCGGTGCGCTGCTACAATGCACGCGCACCGCCACGGCCTGCAAAAGTTGTTGAAGATAATATAAATATTTACGCGGACTACACGGAATATATACCCGGATGTGACAAAAAAAAATAAATATGAATACAAGAAGAGGCCACAATAATAATTTTACAGAAGGTGACTGGAAAAAATTAAAAAGTATATATATGAAGTAGTACTATGATGGCAACTAAGAGGAAAATAAAGTGTTTTTTTATATAATGAGCAAAATTCAAGAAACGGCAGATTAATTTAAAAAGGATAGAAACGGTTGTAATGTTGAAAGCTTCGTCCAGAACCAGAAGAATGTCGAAATTGAACCAAAAGGAACAAAGAAGAAAATTTGAGGTAACATCGAAACAGCGTAATTTTTTGACATTTTTTAAAGATTTCTTTAAAATTTTTATAATTATTATAAAAAAGTTACATATGTTTCTAATATATGATTATGTTTTTTTATCAGATAATTCACGATAAAATCGATCTAAAAAAATGCAATCATATGACAATATTAAAAATTAAGTTACGCTTTAACCACTTATATATTAACATACAGGCACAAGACGATTTTATATTCAATTTCATTCGGTTATTGTTTATTGTTTTATATTATTTTTATTACTATGTCCTGAAAAAACGAATGAAATAATATAGTAGATTACATTCTTACGTACTTAAATTTACCATGGTTTACCATCAATAAATTTTTCGTATAGTTAAAATAATACTGATATATTATTAAATATGATATATAATGATTTCTTATATTTCATTTCTTATAGATAAAATCCGTAAAATTAGTTTTATTTAAAAATATGATATATTTCGTAGTTTTTTTTTCTATAGTAAATTTTATTTAAATGTTTTAATTCAATTCGAAAAGGGTAAAACAATTCGGTATTAATAAGTATTAGTTTTTCTTTTCTTTTATAAAGGCAGTGAACCTTTAAGTTATGCTTATATACATAAACCTACTTAAAAATTAAAATTGGTCTTTTTAATGCTTAAATAAATTAATGTTTTGTTGTGTAAAGTTGATAAGTGTTACAGTGATTATTAAATTATTTTCTGTAAACGATATAGTAAATACCATACTTCTAGAAATCTTTTTCGATCGAAGCAAAAGTAATGTGTCTAAAATTCTGTGTAAATAAGGAATTTAATACTATCAATTTACTTGTATCCACATATTATGTATGTAATAATAACATTGTATAAGTTACGTTTAAATTAGGTGATCATAATACGATGTAATCGCAAACGTTGCCATATACTTACTTTGTTAATTAAAACAAAGGTGTCTCAAATCGCTTGCGCTGCTAAGAGTGGGATTACAATTTGTATTTTGATCTGTCTGTCGTTATGCGATCATGTTATTGTTATTGAAAACTACGTTGCTTTGACTTCTTTGTTCTATATCTTAATATGAAATGCAATAATTTTTTTTATTTAATATTGATTAAACTTTCATATCATAAAGTTTTAACTATTATAATTCATTATTTTTGGGATAATAGATTGACTATCTAACCTATTTGTGTGGATTATGAAAATAATTACTTCGTTTAATTCGATTTTGATACTCATTATATTATGTATACAATTAATTAATTTAAATTTTATTGTACCCATATTGTGAGCCTCAATCCCTGACCGACAACGATGTAACTAAATATTATACGAGACTATTATATGATATAAATTTGTAAAAGATGTGAATAAATGTTTGGCTAAGTTACGGATTACGTAATTATAAATGAAAAATATTAATAGTGTGTACCTAAGTGTGAGAGTAAGGTAAAGAAAAATTATCGGAGGTTAGCATATCCACATACAATCAGCTTGATCAGCTGAGAGTTTGGAAAACCTAATAACCGATTAATTTTTAAGGTGGTTCTGACACTATTAAATACGTAATAAGTTGTTAATGAGGAAATGTATTGTTAATGAGGAAATTAGAATTTATTATGAATTGTATAGGAATATTATCCATAATATTAATCATGTATGTACGCGAGCCGTGTACGTGAAAATTATGGTTTAATTAAAAAAATGGTTAATAAATACTGTAAATGTAAAGAAATAAACAAAAATAAAACAAAAGTTGACCTTGACAAATAAATAATGGAGAGATACGGGAACGTCCATCACTGGTAAAACATATAGTCCTCGAGCAGGGTATGTTTCCATGATTGGATGATAAAATCGGGAGTAACGGGTACTAGGGAACAATACCTACAGTACAAGTGAGATGTGAACGAGTTTACTAATATTAGTACTGTTGGGACCAGAGAAGTCGTAAATATTGTTATCCTTAATAATGGTACATAGAGGTCTCATCCTTCATTGGATCATAGTGTGAACTTAGTTTTCCTCCATGACAATTGTTGGAGTCCTTTTAAAATGACTTAAAAGTTGACCTCAAGGTTATGCGTACAACTCAAGGTACACTTTTACCTTGATATAGTATGAAAAAAAAAGTTTATGTACCAATAAAATGAAATAAATGTAGTGAAAATGTAATATAATACCCAAATAAATGGGGGGCCCATATTTATAAAGTACCCGCGTGATAAATGTCACGAAATAAAATATAAATGAAATGAATTAATACTCCGATTCCCAGTATCTAAATAATAAATAAATATATAAGTGAATAGAGAGAAATAAAAAAGAAGGAAAGAAAAAGGAAACAAAATAAATGTAAAAGAAATCAAGAAAAAAAAGTACGTACAAGAATTATGAAAAAAAAAGAGATAATAAAAAGGCCTAACAATCGAAAATAAGGAATCAGATGAAAAGTATTAATAAATATGTAAGAGCAGAGTATTTTAAAATATAAATGAACGTACAACTGTACTAGAACTCCGCGAATTACCTAATTATGCCAAATAAGTATGTTTTATGTATGCATGATACATCATACCAATTCTATTATGACGTTGAAATTACTATGATGTAGAGGGATGTGGCCACCCGAACTACCCATAGAATATACCTATATTTTATTTTTGTAATTTATATTTAGATCAAATAATATATAATTACATTGAATTTTTGTAATTTTTATTAATAATAAACATATTTTATATTTATTTTTATAAGTTTAAAAAAAAAACAAATGTATTCATTTATTTTTCATTTTCTTGTCGGTGGGAGGTGTAGTGTAGTATAGCCTCCACGACTATATATATATGTTAGTGTTAAGGTAGAATAAGAACAGTATAATTAAAGTTATAGAAGCATCAACACGCCTCTTTTTCATTTACATAGTTCCTATATCACATTATATTTCATTTCATTTATTGGTTTCACTTCTACCGCGTGTGAACTGCACTCTTGTTTTTTTTTTATCAGCTTAGTAGTTTTAAAGTTTATCCACTACAAACTAAAAACAAATCTTTTCTCTTTGTAATATTAGTATAGATATCAAAAAATGAAATGTCAAAATATTATTATAGTGCCACCAACTTATCTGTTCAGGTGGACAAAATTGGAACTAAATCCGCCATTTTGTAAATGATATTTTGCTGTCAGCTATTATTTATTCTGAGCTATCAGGTGAGTGTTTTTAAAAAGTGTAAATAAAATGCCTAAAGGTTTTAAAAGTGATGCGCGATAGATTATCCTAAAATTTTTATCTTTTATGAAAAAATAGAAAGGTGTACAAGTCCCAACTATGCCATTTGAAAAGCTGTAGTAACGCGTTGCTGCTGCGACAGATTAGTATTGCCAGATATGGAAAATTAAAATCACCAAATAATGTACTTGTGAAACATAGTAAAAAAAGCTTTGTGGTTTGTGTTGCTAATGTTCTAATGCCCCAATTAATTGAAGATTCATTTCATAAAATTACACCGGTGCAGTGGAAAAACATTTGTAAGCATGTAAAAAAAATTGAAAATGAATACAGACTAAAAGAGGCGTATTTAAATGAATCCTTTATTATAGAGCGTCAGAGCGATAGTAAAGGCGATTCCAGTGACTCAGAAGATGAATTATTGGAACCAGTAGCTAGCGCGGGTACATTTTTCAAAACAGAAATTTCTGGAATTCGGCTGCTTGAACTCCGAGATCACGACCACAATTATTTTTATAAATCTCACTAATTTTATATATTAACACGAAATTTGTTTTATTTTATATCATGTGTAACCTATTTCCTCGGTGAATTTCTTAAATGGCAATAGTAAGCACTCCACTAGCGACGCTGTCAACTGAACAGATAAGTTGGTGGCACTATAAGTAATGTGAAGAATTAATAACAGCAGACTATACGAGGGCGTAATGAAGATTTTCTTGAAATGTTAACTCGTGCAGGATACCCCTGTTAAATGATGGGTAAGGCTACTAATTGAAAACTTATGATGGGCAGTAATAATACTATTCCTACTATTGGCGCTGTTAACCAATCCGCCTGTTCAGCGCACTACGGGAGAACCGGGTGTGTTTAATCTCAAAACTTCATATTTTACTTGTTTCAAAATGAATTAAGCTATAATTTTACATATGTATACTTGGATATATAGAGTGTTTTAAGTTTGGAGAAGCATATGAGCATTCCAAAAATGTATATTACTTATATACTTATATAGAAAACTTTCAAGTAATGTGGCATTGAATCGTATAAACGTATTTCGTCAAAATCAACTAATCGAAAATGACTAAGATTTGATGCTCTTTTATACTTATGTTAAAACATACAAAATAAAATTAACATACCTAAAAAAGAACGTTATTTCTTTGACTTTAGTTAAAAACAGTTATGAGACAGCTTTTAATAGGGCTTTGCCATAGTGCAGCGTAGTGAATATTAACAAATATTCTGCCTAATAGTTGTCAGCTAGTGAATTTGTGGAAAGGCAGTCTAGGAGGTGTTTAATTTGTTACATGTTTTAAAAAGAAACGTAATCACTATCGACATTTTTTAATCAATCCCATAGATTATATACTTTTAAAGTCGTTAGATCCTCGTAAATAAATAAAGATATATTATGTAATGAATAGTAAGGGCTAATAAAAACAAGTAATATTAAAATACTTTAATAATTTCAGACAGTAGCACCATTTGCAGATGTTTACATAGGATATGGAATGAGCGAAATAGGAACAATTGCTTTCGACCCAGTCAGCTTTATTCCAGGGTGCCTCGGACGGCCATTGGGGCACGCAGATTACCGCGTAAGTGAACTCCCTTTTTCTTCTATATTTTCTTCCTCATCGCCAATATTGCCCTCACTAAACTAATATTTCGATCTTACTTAATAAATAAAAACAGAAATAGAATACAATAATCTTAATTACAATAACAACGCTACAACATTGATGCATTAAACTTAAATAAATCCTTTAACGCAAATTATAATCATTATTTAATATAAGCGATTCTTCATGTCAGTTAATAACACTTTTAATAAAACGTTGAATAGAATAATAATAATAAAAGAAATCGCTACATAAGCCTTACTTCCGACTTCAGAACCTATTATTTGCGTATTTATTGGCATCCGTTGCTAAGACATAGTTTATCGAAGACCCCTACATTAGAAGCTATTATGCGGAAGTTTTGTAATTTTTGAAGTCGGTTCTACTTTTTATTGAAATTTTAATTATTTTACTGGTACCACAAGTTCAAGGTGTCAAGTAGAATGTCGTTTAAATAGGTACAATAAAATATTAATTCAATATTTTTCTCCCTTACAGATATTTTTTTTTAAATCGGTGCAGCCGTTTTCAAAAAATCTAATCGAAAAATCGATGCATGTACGAGTACTTAAAAACATGCACGTCAAATATAATTTAACCTTTAATTTTTTAAGTCTGTTAATAACTTGTTCTATAATAATCAACGACAGTTTAAGACTAACAATAATTATACTTTTCAGTTAGTTGATCCAGGAACGGGAAAAGACGTTTTGGAACCCCACAAAACAGGCGAACTTTGGTTTAAAGGACCGATAACTTTTAAGGTATGGTTATTTTTATTGTTCTATAAAGATAGGTTTTTATTTTAATCCATTTTCTATTTCCGGTATGATTATAATTTATTGACATTTTACATTTACATTTCAAGGTCCACAGTCAATCAACGATTAATCCATTCCCTGTCCTGCGTAGTTGATATTGTCTTTATTTTTTTATAGTATAAGGGTGACAAAAGAGTCTACACAATCCACTTGATGGCAAGTGGATGTTATGGCCCATAGAAATCTGGGTCATTCCGTCCGTTTGCGTAAATCGGAAATTTTTATGATTATTTTTGTATTTTTTTTTTTGATATTTAGTTTAAAATTTGATAAACTATCAAATATAATATAATATAAATAAGGGAAAAAGGTTGTGTTGAACTAATTTAATTGAACATGCAATATAAAAAAATTTAGCAATATATCAGTAATATACCTAACTAGGAAACTTTGACATTAAGAACTTGAATGAACAACAAAAAAATCAATGACAATCTTAACCTAATTTTAATGGTTAGAATATTGAATCAAATATTTTACCGTCGGACAAAATATATGCTTTGGCATAATATTATGTTTATCTACTTTAGGGATAATGTAAAAAAATTCTGAAATTTGATAGATTTTAAAGGAATCTTGGACTTGATTTGATATTGAAATAATTGTCCTTGTCAATATTACTTAATGTTATCTGTATTCTTTGTCTTGTTTGCTGTTTGTGAGTCATTTATTTCTTTTTTTGGCACCAGGTAAATAACATTGTTAATTTTTTTTTTCAAATTTTCTCTGATCATTTCAATTAAAGACTCGACTTTTATTTAAAAAAAATCTAAATTGTTATCAGCCACACGTTAAATTTGCAAAGGGTACATTAATATTGCCACAAAGCATCCTTGGGGATGTCACAAAGCATGTTTTGTGCATTCCTTATGCGAGGCCTATGTTCAGCAGTGGACTTGTGACTTGTGATGATGACATTAATATTTGTACCTAGCAGTTTAGTTCCAATATAGCGGTATCTTGCTTTAATAACCACTCTTTACTTATCCGAGGGCGATAGACGATAAATCGTACGAAATTAGATTGTTGAATATGTTTTGGTACGATTAGAAAAATACATTTTTAAGGAGTTGTCCTTAAAAATGTGTTTTTCTTTCCTTTCTACGGTACATATGATACTCTTGTGGCAGTATTAGGTGAGTTGTCTAATGAACAGTGAATCAATTGAACTTCGGTTGCAAAGAAAGGATAAAGATTTGTTTAAAACATGTTTCGAGCCGGTAATGAAAAAATTCTGCGACCAAAGATATCAGTATATCAATATCTATATATTAATAATATATGGATAGCAATATCTTCGTTTTCGTATATTATCTAATTATTTTGTTATTAGATAATTTTTAAATTACTTAATTATCTATTAACAACGTGCAGTATGTAATTGAAAATAAGCATTATAATTTTGTATCAAACTGACATGAAATTTTGGTGTATTTTTTTATTTATTTTATGAAATCTGTAAATCATTTACGCTATTTTCTGCCGACTTCCAAAAAGGAGACGGTACTCAATTCGACTGTATGTTTTTTTAATGTGTGTTACCTCATAACTTTGTACTGGGTGAACCGATTTCGATGATTCTTTTTTATATGAAAGCTGATAGTTCTCGTGTGGTCCCATATGAATTTATTCAAGGTCAGACCAATAGTTTTTGAGTTATTCTTGAATAACTTATATTGAAATCGGCTGTACAAAATTGTTAATTTTAAATTATATAATTTTTATTCAATTTCTTACAGTCAGAGTATTGTTATAAAAAATACGCGATTTCCATAATTCTATTTCTAAATAAGCTATCTCCATTAAAATGAAAACGGACGGAACGACCCAACTACACACCTATCTTCGACTAAGAATCAAAATGCAGATGCATTTTCACCTGTGGTCGAAGATGAAATGCATTATTTCCAGTAAAAAGAGTGTTCTGTCTTAAAATCGGATAATAAAGTATTAAAGCGCACAATTCATATAAAACATTAAATTATAACTTTAAAGGTAGGAATATTTTTTCTAGGGTTACTATAATAATCCTGAAAAAACAGCCGAGATATTTACAGAAGACAAATGGTTGAAGTCAGGTGATCTTTTCTACAGGGATGAGAACTGGAACTTCTTCTTTGTCGATCGCATGAAACTGCTTCTTAAATATCGAAACCACCAGGTAATTCTATGTTATATTCTGATTAATCGAAGTCTGGTGCAAAACTTATAGCTTATAATTGTTAAATGAAACTAACTTTTACAGATTCTATCGCGTTTAATTTAACTTTTTAATTCCCGACGTTTCGGGTGCTTTGCAGCACCCATGGTCACAGAGGGCGGAGGGGGGAGATGAAGTGTTTGACGTCCCGACGTCATAGTTAGCCCGACTACCTTCGGCTACCGGCTACCATGGTGTAAAAATTTAAAAAAACATCCTATCTTCAATAGAGAAGATTGATGAGTGCTGCCATATGCTTGGGATCCTATAATTAATAAAATTGAATCCAAACCCAAGCCTGCCATTGCAAGACTTCAAGATACCGTAAGCAATGAGCTTACGTAGATCGGATCAAGATTAATTTTCAAAACCTGAAATAGAGTTGAAGTTGAGTCACGGGGGAAGAGGAGTTTTGGTACGGCGATGCGCCACTCGCCTTATCCTCCGCAACTCTGGTGGGGCCAACCCCAGCACCGCTGATGCGGCGATGGGGTCAGGAAAGCTGGTGCTGCAGAGTGCTCGTTTTTCCTGGCCTCATGGCCTCGGCGTTTCGGGCTCGGGACTGACCCCTCATCATCGCGAAGGAAGGCGTGCCTTGTGAAATGCGGTGAGGGTAGAACACCATGGGGTTATAGTCGGTGCGAGTCCGACATATCCCGTCCTTGCCCCCGCGAGGCGAAAAGGGCAACAAGGATAGAGTTTAATGCACTATGCCAATGCGTGTTTGAAGGAAATGGTTTTCTATACAGTATTATCCTTAACCCCTAACAAGTTAGTTACAGGGTTAAAAATGCATTAATCAGCATTTAAAAGCGATTACAATTTTGATGCCAACGGGGAGTGAATTCGGATTCGGCGCCTAGCCCAGGACCTATATGAGTATTATTAATAGAATAATATTAATTGTGCTTACAGATATCACCTATAGAAATTGAAGACGTTATACAGAAACTCCCTGGCGTTTACGACGTTGCTGTGACCGGCATTCCAGACGAAGAGTGTAGTGAACTTCCAGTAGCGTGTGTCGTGCCAGAAGACAATCATACGCTGACTGCTCAAGAGATTAAGGATTTAGTTAAAAGTAACCTACTTTATTCTCCTTTTTTTACTATTATAAGCCATTGCTTGACTACTATTTCATCTGATGGTAAGTGGTGATGCAGCCGAAGATGGTATAGCGCACTGACTCAGCTTAACGAAAGCCTTACTTCAGTCTTACTTTGAATATAACCTTATTGTCTTCTTTTTTTTTCAAGTTTGGCAACTTCGAATGGATTTTGCCAGCGTCAAGTATTTCATGAGAGTCACACAGAGTATTGACTAGTTTCCGTTTCCGTAGATGCGCTTACTTAGCTTTATGTTACGAACTTACTTATGTAGTTATTTTCGAATGAATTAACATTATAATAGTTTTACAAAATTATTGCTAATATAATTATGGATATCGGTAAATGGCAAAGGTACTATAGTTTAATATTATTAATGGATATGAAGTCTAATAAAGTTTGTACAAAAGGAGTGTATAAATTTAACAAATACTTAACATTTACAGGACGGGGGATGTTATTAGGAAGAAAATCGTATAATGAAACGAAGAGGTTAGGGCAATTAAAAAATTTATGATCGATATCGATCATCTAATATCGATCGGCTAATCCACACTCACAAATTGAGCTATCTTTAAGTTTTGCCAATAATACAGGTGAACAAGTGTATCCCAATCTAATTCTACATATGACAGATGTACTACTGTGTATTATATATATATATATATATATATATATATATATATATATATATATATTTTAATATATATGTTATTTCTTTATTGTCTTCTTTACCAACCCGTACACCACTGGACATGGGTATCTTCCATATTATGATGTTTGCCCTTGCTTTTGTACGTTTGGCAGGCGGACTTGAGATCGCAGTAACAACAGTACGATTGTGTAACTCCGCTGGGAATCTTTTGCTGGTGGGAATATCATGATATGTTTCATCCTTTTGATAATATTTTGTAACGTAAAATATAACTTAGTAAAAAGTAAAAGCGAACTTCAAAGAAATAAATAGAAGTCGGTGCTAAGACATATAAATTTATACTTTGAATAATTTAATATAATCATTTCTTATATGGATCGTTTATTCTTTATGGCATTCGTGCAGAAAATATTTAATAACTGATATAAGTTCAAAATTTATTCTTGTATACTGTTACAGTATACAAGAATAAATTTTGAAGAGTTTTAGAGATTATTATATCGTATTTCATAATATGGAAAATTAAAAAAAATGAATCTCTTGTTCACTTAAAGATAAAGTAAATATAAAATATATGAATGTTTGTAACATTTTCATATTCTATAATTTAGACCCATATCAAAAATTATACTCAATTTTAGAACGAAGTTCCTTGTCGGACGATACGAATTTGGCGAATGGGGCTAGGCGAGAAAAATTGTAAGATTTTTCCGTTACGTCCCCTTCTGACGTAGTGTAGACGGCCTTGGCGACTATAAGGAAGTAAGATGGAATAATATCCATCTCCCTCGCACTTTTCTTTACCTTTGAAAGAAATATTATTCTATTTTAAATGACGCTTCATTTTAATAGACGTAAGTAATTCATTTATTTGTATTTGTTAATTAATAATATAATACGTTTATCCATAATAATATACTGCGAAAGGAACTTCGTTCCAACCGAGTGTTGCACGACACTCACGCATGTTTTTTTTTAAAAATAATTTGTTCAAAACTTAAGAAGTTATAATGCTAAAACAAATTAGAATAAGATTAAATAATTCATACGCATACAGAAAAAGAAAATGTGCCGTGTAGTGGCGGTGTAACAATATCACTATCCCATATCATCCCGTGAATGCCATAAAAAGAGACAGAGGGAAATCAAATAGGCAGATGGGCAGCATCACTTTCCTGATAACAGCTTAGAGAATTGCGTTAGCCAACTCACCTGTTACCGTGATAACGAGGGCAAATATCCTTCCTATAAAGCAATTTATGGAGGAGATCTGTGTTCAGAAACGGACTTAAATAGATTTTAATGATTATTTTATATATATTATTTTACAGGTTCTCTTACTGATTCGAAGCAATTAAGAGGAGGAGTTATTTTCATGAAAGAACTTCCTTTAACATCAACTTCAAAAGTTAATCGCCCTGTACTAAAAAGCATGGTTAAGAATATGAAGAGAGAATAGAGGAGCGTAAGAAAAAAGTGATATTTAAAGTGATAACCAAACAAGAGTTGTTATAATAACTCGTATGCTTGTCGCCATTGTCTTATGAAATTTTTATTTATTTTTAAATAAATAATAAAATAAAAATTATAACATTAATATTAAATAAATTCATATATTTCTTTTTTTACTTTTATTTCTGTTTGATCAATATTTTGTGGATTAATTATTTCGTCATTATTGTTTATTATTATTATTTTGATTATACTAAACGTATTTTGTTCGTTCTTAGGGTTCCGTAGTTAAGCAACAAGGAACCCTTTATTTTGGGTATACTTTCATACAAGTGATTATTTATCTATCTTTTCAATCGTGTGGAAGTCGTTGGATAGGTTTTTCAAAAATATTGGGGATATGGAACAACATTTATTGTTTCAGGGGTCCGTTTGCGAAATATTTAACTTTAAAATTGTATTTTTTATTAGAGTCATGTGTCATGTAGGGGCGGGCATATAAATGGCACACAATGCTATATGATGCACTTACTCTTCCAAGACAACATTCTTTTCAATTTTAATTTATTATTTATGGCGAAATGAATTTTATATTTGAAGATTATCTATTTATTATGCTCATTTAATTTAAAATAAGAAACAGGCTTAAAAACCCTAAAAAAAATTACTTAAAGACTTCCTTAATCCACATGAAGTCGGAAACAGCTGATTTACGCACGAAAATGTGTCCATTTCTTACCCAGATGAAAGCATAGCCCATTTTCTTTGCCTTCATCCTAGCTGTGAAGTGAAGATTTATGAGGGCCGGTGTTAAATGTTCTGCGTTGCATTCAATTTAGCATTAGAGTGGGATTTGTTAATGACTGTAACTTTTGCCAAAAATTATCACGTAGCCTCGGTGTAGCTAACTGAGCAACAATTTCGCTAGGACGTGTGCTATTTGGATTAATTTTGGCCACGTGAGTGCAGTGTTAAATATCAGCATCCTTAATATCACAGCCTATTGTTTTACCTAGGGTTGTTACAATTTTCATAAGATTTTCATGCTTCTTTTCCGGAACGCATTGTCTCTACATTTTTTGAAAGAGCGTGCTGTTCTAGGTGAGCAACTCGGGTAGTGAGGTCGAATACCGTGGTTTTGAAAACCCGTTTTTCCTTTGCGTTTCCTTAATTTGTTTTTTGTTTTTCTTCTGCTCCAAGAGTGATTCATGAATAACATTGATGTTTTATCTCCGCTATTTCTTTTTCAATAGGTGCCAGTTTGGAGTTTAATGCAGACACCAGCATGCTATTGAATTTAGTTACCAAGCTGTCAAAGTTGGTTTCCAAAGCCTCTTGTGTTATGTCGCATACATCGTCACGCGAGACATTTGGTTCACACTCAATTTTAGGGGGCGAGTTAGGTGCGATTCTTTTATTCCGTCTATTTATCGTGATATTCCGTGCTGGTGTATTGTCATTTTTGATCTCCCTTGGGACATTACTTACACAAGTTGGGCAAAACCATGAAGACAATTTCCGGGGTGATTGATTTTTTATCAAGCATTAAGGAAGTATAATGGAAGGCATTCATACATTGGGTGCAGTCTTTAAAGCTAGCATCATCACTTTTTGTCTCGCAGTGGCCCCAATGGCTCGAGTTATTGTTGGGCTTTATTTAATATTTTATAATTTTTAGTATAAGTTATCACTGAAGTAAGTATGATAAAAATCAAAAAATATATTTATAAAAATAATTCAGAAGTCGATGGGATTCGAAAGCATAATTGTCTTTTACGGCGAGTTCATATTTTCGCATTGGGCTGTCCGACGCTTGTATAATTGAATGAAAACTTGACCCTGTTTCCGTACGTGCTGCGTTGTCTCGGCGTAGTATGACGTTAAATACTACGCACACACATGCGTTTGGTATTTTTGTTTCGAAACCGCTCTCGGATTGACTTGCACAACGTCCGTGTTGATATTTGTGTTAGTTAATAGTGATAAACAAACAACACTTCAGTTCGCGAAAACCAGAGTGACCGACATAGCCCAACGGATTAGTAAGCTGAAGTGGCAATGGGCCGGCCATATAGCTCAAAGAACCGACAGCCGATGGGGAAAAAAGGTTCTCGAGTGGCGGCCTCGTACCGGCAGACGAAGTGTAGGGCGTCCCCCTACTAAATGGAATGACGACCTGGTAAGATATGCAGGAAATCGATGGATGCAGGTGGCTCAAGACCGTGCTTTGTGGCATTCCTTGGGGTAGGCCTATGTTCAGCAGTGGACTTGTGACGTGTGAATGATGATGAATGATGATGTAGTTCTGACACAAGTCAATGTTTTAATGTACAGCACTTAATACAAATATGAATTTTAAACTAATCAAACTTAAATATTTGATGAGCGATCCAAAATACGTCCACTCACGTTGTTTATTATTGTCTATAAGCGAAAGTGTATTTCCGGATATCTGGAAAAGAGCACACATTGTACATAAAAAAAAACTAAAACTAAAATTAAACATTTCAATTTTAAATAATCTTAGTAAAATTTTTGAGAAAACCGTTTTTGATGCTATATATATGTATCCCGTAATATAATATAAGGGACTGCCAAATACTCAACACGGATTTCTAAGGTGTTGTTCTTCTATCACTAATCTAGCGTCCTTTTCTATGTTTTATCTAATATGGATGGAGACGGTCTGGTAGACGTGGTCTACACAGACTTCGAAAAAGCTTTCGACAACAAGGATAATTAATTATATTAAAATCGAAACTAGGCGTAGTAATGTTAATGTTCAAAATGTCATCAGATGACACGAGATTTGTGCTCTGTGTATACACTGTGCACTGTGCGGGGATATTTAGAATACCCGTGCCGAGTATAACTGTCTCTTTCAATCCTAAGATACCACAGTTGTTGGTTATCCTATTCAGATGAGATTGCACGAAAATCTACCGATCATTCACTAATTGTTCCCAATTGTCCATTTCACTAAACAGTGTTTTAGTTTCGAACTTTACGGGTAGAGCACTGAAGGTTTTGGTAAGCAGTTCACTCTCACGTATAGGGATACCACTTCGTAACGGTATGGTCTGGATTTTGCACATGAAGAACTCAGAGCGTATAGACTTATAATCATTTAAACTCTCCAAATCACAATAACTTAGCTTATCATTAGATATTACGATGTAGGTAGTTGAAGGTAGGATTGAGCTAAAGATGTTCGGGTTGGTTAAGTAATGAGGATGTTTACGCCCCAACGCTGACTTCGGGATTGACGTCAGAGGGCGCGCGGCTCAGCGATACCGGCTTGACGTTCGGTCGTACGTAGAACGCGCGGCGTCAAATAGGAGTCGTTTGCCAGCTGTGAATGGGACAGCACACCTTCATTTTTTGTTCGGGGATGCGGAATTGTGCACGTGGGCGTCGAGTAGATATAAGGTCTAGGGTTTGAACCGCGCATTCCTTGTTCGAGAGCTTCTCCCGGTTGCTCATCAGGAAATCATTATAATCGTGTCGTCGCGTTAAGTGTCCTTTTTTGTGTGTGTTGGCTTGTTAGTTTACGCGTCAACGAGGCGTATTTTGAATCTTTTCGCGACGTGGTTTTTGGTGTCGAGTGAAGGAACTTAGTTGTGTTCAAATGAGTAGTATGACTCATTAATAGATCGCTTTAATTCCCTCTTTATAATTTGTGATAAGTGAATCCGGGACATTGAATGTTGAACTTTGAACTACTGTCCGTTACTGTGTATCACGTGTACGATTCTACGATGAATGTGGAATTAGGCGAGTTTTAGTTAGTTAAATGTACAATGAAGCTAATAGGACTGTCCTCGTGACGAACGAAGAAAGTGACTGTGGACAACTCCGCGGAAGATTACCACAATTTGCAGCGGTGCTGAAGTCCGAGCTGCTGCCGACGGCAACGGTCTACCACACTCAGTCACACACAGATACACATCACTGACCTTTACTTCCCATGCACCATACAACCTCATGCGACCTGACCGAACCCTGTGGGACCAGCCGCCTTGGATATAGGTAGGGAAGCTCGAGTTTAATATTCTCCCTGTTGAATAGCAGCAAGATCGAACGCCCCCCCCCCCCCCCTTATTGTTTATTGTAATTAGGAAATTCCACGCGGCCATATTGAGGCCCGACCTACGTCTGTTCATTGAAACTCTGCTGAATGGGCCCCAGAGGGTTTGAGCCTTTGTGGGAGCAGCAGAAGGCCGTAACAGAGGAGTAGCCATGATATGGTATAATTTGAACTCATCGGCTATTATAAGGGGAGTTTATAGGATGTGTGGCGGGTAAAAGGAAAAGGGGAGATCTCCCCCCGGGCAAGGAGCGGTCAACACTCCGATTGGTAGTTCGGAGCTATTCTATATATGCTGCTTTAACTTCGGAACTTTGTAAGCGCGATATAGACTTCAACGTGTTTCGCTTGTGGCGCGACGACAGCGTCGCCACATCACCCCCCTGCTCAGACCGAAGGTCGATAGTGCAGTCCGATTGCAAGTGCCAGGGATTGCATTGTAGTCTGCGGTGAGTCGAGATGAAGGCAAATAATCTGCGAGAGTACCGTGAAGCAGAGGCGAGCAGTAAGGCTCAGAATCGTGCCGAACACTGTAGCACAAAGGGTAGCTTGAAGGAACAGGAAGCATTATTATTCCAGTGCTGCGATGAACCTTTGTAAAGCTAGATGGCTTGCAGAATGTGAAGACTGCAGACAATATCTGCTCGGGAGCGAATGAATGGGATACTTGAGGGCGATGACGAAGGTTTGAAGTAGTTTCCGAAGGTTGTTGGTTGCGTGTTCAGATCACGTTGGGTGGTCACCACTGTGGCGGGTGGAAGGAAAAAGGGAGATCTCTCGCCGGGCAAGGTGTGCTGCCCGGGGAGCGGCCAACGCTCCGAGTGGTAGTTCGGAGCTATTCTATATATGCTGCTTTAACTTCGGAACTTTGTTAGCGCAATTTAGACTTCGACGTGTTTCGCTTGTGGCGTGACGACAGC